CATCTTGACCAATTATAGTAAAACATGACATACTATTATTATACTCCTTCCGTTTCATATTATAATTGGTAAAATCTAAACAGAGAGGCCTCTCTATTTAGTCTTAACAGGAGACAGTATAGAAAGCCTACACATCTATAAGGGAGACAACAGACAAACGCCTAGACATCTATATAGACATGCATTTCTTTTTACCCTTCTTATAAAATTTTCTCCAAAATTACTTATCCGATATACAATCCGATTACACCATTGTGTTAGTTACAATTAAATCTTTACAACAAGATCTTACATGATTATATTGTGACGAAAAAATATTTATGTTTATAAATTACTTTTATTATATACGTAAGTTACTTTTATCATATATATAAATTACTTTTAGATTTGACTAAGTTACTTCTTATACATTCATAATGCTCTAAATTGATTATTTGTATTATTGTTTTTAGTCAATTCTATAATTTATGGACTTTAAATTTATTTTTTCGATAGACCATATTTTCTTTCTTACAACGAATTTACTTCTAATGTTGTAACAATTTACTTGCATTTTATGCTAAGTTACTTTTATGATTTATGTAAATTATTATTTCTACTACAGAGAGTTAGAAGTACTTCTATTACATAACTAAGTTACTTCTGTTACATATAATTACTTCTACTACATAAACTTATTTCTATTGCATAGCTAAGTTACTTCTATTGTATAGCTAAGTTACTTCTGCAATTTAAATACATTACTTTTAAATTAATAAAATATTTGAATATATATCAAATATGGATCTTGCATTGTCACATATTTTATGTAGAGTATAATGATGCAAATAGATCTTAAAAATAATACAAATATATAAGTTATTAAAGAGCTTAAATCTAAAAGTAATTTATGAATATGACAAAAGTAACTTACATATATATTAAAAGTAACTTACATATATAATAAAAGTAATTTATATATATATATATATATATATATATATATATATATATATATATATAAGAATATAATTATGTAAGATCTTGTTGTAAAGATTTAATTGCAACGAACACAACGGTATAATCGGATTATAAATCGGATAAGTATTTTAAGAGAAACTTCTCTAAAAAGAAAAAAAATACATAGATATTAAGTGTACCAATAGCTTCTTTTGGAAAGAAGGGTGTCTCTCTTTAGCACTATCCAGCTAGCACTCTCGGTGTAGTTGTGTCTATTATAATTTGTTTTGACCTTTTTAAGTTTGATCAAGTTTATAGAAAAATATATAAACATTTTTGACACAAATAAACATATTATCAAAATATATTAAATGTTAATTTTAATGTAACTAATTTGGTGTGATGTTGCTAATTTTTTTAAACTTGGTTAAACTCAAAATGTTTAATTAGGAAAAAGTCAAAACTATTTATAATATGAAACATGGTAGTATTAAATAATTGTACCATGCTATTATGAGGAAGAGATACACAAAACTACCGTTTTTTTGACAAATTGACCCTTTTCAAAAACTTAATTCGAAACTAACCCCTGCCAAAAACTTCAACCAAAACTAGGCCGTCGGCTCAGCGCCAAGCGCATTGGCGCTGAGGTTGGCCGTGTCAGCGCCAACGGGACTGGCGCTGACATTGTGCCACCGTGGCGGCCGGGCCGATCCCCTAGCTGACGTGGCAGCTACCTCAGCGCCAACCGCTTCGGCGCTGAGGTGCCCAACCTCAGCGCCAAGTAAGTTGGCGCTGAGCCTTGGCTACTTAGAGCCCGGCCGAGGCCGCCCCAGCCAGTTCTTCCTCCGTTTTTTCCCCAGCCGCCCGCCTATGGTTCGGTCGCCACCGCGTTCTCCTCGCCCAATCTCCCCCAAAAACCTCTCTAATCGAAGGTGATTTGTGCGGCATTGAGTTTGGGATCGGAAGAGAAGGTAAACCCCTCTATAAACCCTAAGTTCCCCAAAGTTTTATTGGATATTTTGCATTGTTTTGGTTGTAGACGTGGTTTGATAATAGTTGGCTAAGGATGGATTATTAGATGGATAATATGGGTGGGGATGAAGTGTGGAAGTGGCATATCTTTATCCATTTGGTTGTTATTGATACATTTGACAAAATATATTTGGGATGGATGTTTGGTGATGCACTAGGGTTTGATGGGAGATGGATGTGTGGTGATGGCCTAGGATGTGGGATGGATTTGTGGTGATTGAGAGGGTTTGAAAGGGGTTGATGTGTGGTGAAGGGTAGGTAATTTGTAGGAGTAGAGTTTTTTTTTATCAATAATGTGTAGTATTTGAGTAATGTACTTATTTATTGGAAAAATTAGACATGTTGTTAGCTTTTGAAGTATTGGTATTGCAATGGTAATTACATATTATTTTCAAGTAATTAATGTTTATGCATGGGTTTAAAATTGTAGATGGATAGATTGGTCCGGCTTCATTATGGTGGTTGTGTGGTAGATGAAAGTACACATGGAAGCCAATTTGAGGGAATGACAGTTAGACAATTAGTGTTTTTTGCGAAGCCTACCTTTGAGGAGTTAATGTCTCGCATCAAGCATGAATTGGATTGGAATGATGAGTCGGTTGGTATGCAAGGGAGATACGATGTGGGCGGCGGTGTCATGTCACATAAATTTATGTTAGACTTGAATGGAGAGATCGAATGGCAAACATATATAGATATAGTATTGGGGTCACATTTCAAATCTCTTGAGGTGTTTGCATGGAAGAAAGATGGTAGGATAGGGAAGAAAGAACTTATAGAATCACCCATTAGCTGTCACGAACTGTCGGAGAGGTGTAGTAGGAAGGAAGAATTGATTGAGGAAGACGTGGAGGGGGGCGAGGGAGTAAATGATATGGCGGATGTGGAGGTCAGGGAAGAGAATGACCCGGTAAGGGAGGAAGTACATGCAGAGGAGAATGTGCCGTTAAGGGAAGAAGTACATGCAGAGGACAATGTGCCGTTAAGGGAGGAAGTTAATGTGGAGGAGAATGTGCCGGTAAGAGAGGAAGGAGATGTTGAGGATGGTCGGGAGGTAGGAGATGATGTGGAGTTGCCTGAGGAAGAAGCGAATGCTAAGAATGTAAGTATGGGCCTAAGGGAGTTGGCTAGGCTGAAATTCTATACCCGAGAGGAGTGTGAGGAGGCTATGATACGCAGTGGATTGAACCCAGGCTGGTTGGAGTATGATACAGAGGATGAATTGGATGAGTCCGCTTCCGACTCCGATGATGATCGTCCAGTGCGTAAGATGTCAGAGCATGAAAGGACTGTGTTTGCGAAACTGGTGGGTAGAAACCCGGAAATAACACAATTCGAGGATCTTACCAGATCTGGGCTAGCAATTGCTGATGGGGATCCACAATATGACGGTGCCTTCGAACCAATGTGTGATGAACCAAGGAAGGGGTTGGAGTTTCGATCGATGGATGATCTGAAAATATGGCTATAGAGTTATTCTATCCGTGTCCACCGGCCGTACCATGTGAAGGAATCTAACGCGTCAGTAAAGTATACTGTGGCTTGTCTCGATCGCCATTGCAAATGGCAGATTAATGCAAGGAAGAGTGGAGGAGATAGGTGGCGGGTGACTAGGGTGGGCGAAGACCACACATGCTGTAGTGCGGAAGTAACCGGCAAGCATTTGCAACTTACTTCAAGGTTTATTGGAAACAGGTTACAGGCATTTGTGCGAGCTGAACCAACTTTATCTCCAGCAGCGATTGTCGAGGCAGTTGAGCAAATATGGCACTATCGGCCTACGTATGGCAAAGCATGGCGTGCTAAACAAGTTGCTATGAAGGTCATTTGGGGAGATTGGGACGAGGCGTATGTTCGCTTGCCTACACTGATGCGTGCCATCAAAGCAAAGAACCCTACCATGCATTTCCGTGTTGAGGCTCATCCCGAGAAGTCCAGGATGGTGGATGGAGTACAGAGGCGAGTATTTGGACGTGCATATTGGATATTTGGCCAGTCCATAGAAGCATTCAAGCACTTGAGGCCGGTGCTAGCAATTGATGGCACTTTCTTAACCGGTAAATACCAAGGTACATTGCTCACGGCAATAGGGGTCGACGCCGGGTTACATCTTGTTCCCTTAGCGTTTGCTCTGGTAGAGAAGGAGAATACATCCAACTGGGAGTGGTTCATCAACATGTTGAGAAACAAGTTGATCGGTCCTAATAGAGAAGTGTGTATAATTTCTGATAGACACCCTGGCATTTTGAACTCCATCATCCACATCATGCCTCATCACCTAACCATTCACCACAGGTGGTGCATGAGGCACTTCTGTGCTAACTTCTACACAGCTGGAGCTACGACTGATCAGATGAAAGATCTTGAGCGCATATGTCAAATAAATGAGAAAGCATTGTTCCTAGATGAGATAAAACGCCTCATGGGTGTGGTCGGAGAGAGGCCAAAGAAGTGGCTAGAAGACCATATGCCACTTAAGGTCAAATGGGCAAGAGCATTTGATACCAACGGGCGTCGTCATAGCATCATGACTAGTAATATGGCCGAGAGTTTCAATAATGTATTGAGAGGCATTCGGAAACTGCCGGTTACAGCTATTGTGGCATACACATTTTCGAAGTGCAATAGTTGGTTTGTCGATAGACACAAAGAGGCAACTGTAGATATCCTGTGTGGAAAGAAGTGGCCCACAAAAGTTAAGGACATGTTGGAGGAGCAGCAAAGACGAACCTTGGGGCAAAGAGCAGCATGTTTTGATTTCCCTTCGATGAAGTATGAGGTCAGCGAGCAAGGCGGAGTCACGGCGGCTGGGGTTCAATGGGGTGGACGTCACTACGTCGTGGTTGCGAGAGATAACACATGTAGTTGTCAGTTCCCTCAGCTCCATCACTTGCCATGCTCCCACATGATAACCGTTTGTAAGTTGCGAGGTTTGGATGTGGAGGTGGCCCCCCGAATGTGTTATGAAGCTTCCAATAAGGCTGTGCAGGACTCGTACTCCCCTAGGTTTGAATCTTACCTAGATCCATCGCAGTGGCCAAGTTATGATGGAGAGTTCTTCGTGCCCGACTTGTCGTTAAAGAACAACACACGAGGAAGAAGAAGGACAAGAAGGTTCAAGAACGATATGGACAAAGCATACAAAGGCTCAGCCAACCGACGGTCACAAAAGCCGAACAATACAAATTCAGAGCCGGTCATGCAAAATAGATGCTCGCTATGCCACGAACTAGGCCATAAGAAAACTAGGTGCCCGAAGCGAGACAAGTCTAAGGATCGACCGAAAAAGCGCCGTAGGACGGGGGGAGGTGGTGAGGGTAGCACACAGGTGGGATTGGATGACATTCATTTGCTAAGTTCATATTGTTGCATCAATGTTTACTTTCTGTTGTCCTCCTTTCCGTTCTCATTGTGATTTTTCCATTTAATATTTTTTCAATTACTAATGATTCCATTTTTATTTGCAGGATGGAGCACTTTCCGGGGTTGGAGGATTTCTACGAGGAGAAGCACCGGGCCCCACAGATTGCCAGCGGAGAGGTTAGCATCAACAATATTCCATTTTTTTTATGATCGAATTTATTTTTTCTTCTTTGATTTTAGTTTGTACAGATAGATCATCCATCATAGAGATATCTCAAATCAAAGTTCAGGAGCCTACCGTCGAGGAGAATGGAGTACCAGACCAGGGTCAGCACAACGGGACGGAGTTCGACTTGTACTTGGCGTGGCTCCACAGGACCTACCGTCTTGTCCTACGTCCGGCTTGGACACTAGCCGACATAGCGGATGACCCCGAGGATGTTGAGGAGCAGAACGAGTACGATACTCGTACCCGTCTAGGTACCACGGTCGAGACGGGACCTGTTCGCGACAGAGTGGTTAGTTTCTAGCATTAATGTTGTATATTATTTCATTTCAATGCCATATATGTTGTGACTTACTTCATTTCAATCCTACAGGCTCGAGAGCTCTTGCGGACCGTCAACGACGCGGGAGTGGCGCTAGGCACGGCTCCTGGCTCCGAAGGAGAGGGCAGCACCCTCCGCAACGCCCTACAGGTAATCGTTGGAAAGAGATGAAACTACGGTGTTTTCTTCCAAAAGCGATAACTTAACATGGATTATTTTTTATGCAGAGACTACGGCAGCGATGTCGGAAGTTGGCAGCAAGGCTCGGCTGCAGGTCGACTGATGTGGTCGAACATGCTCATGCCCACCAAGAGGGGGATGAAGAAGGGGAGGTGGGTGACGAGGAGGGCGAGCAAGACAAAGAGGCGGAGGAAGGAGATGAGGAGGAAGAAGGGGATGAGGACAGAGAAGAGGAGGCGGATGAGCTCGGTCCCTCGCAGCTAGAGGACGCACCAGAGTCGTCACAGCCGGATATCTCGCAGCCCGGCCCGTCTCGACCACGACGCCGGCGGGCTCCTTCGCAGGACTGGAGGTACACCCCCGACGTGCCTCGTCCTCGCACTAGAGGTAGGAGGAGGTGAGTGCATGGTTCAATGGATGGATGGATAGATGGATGGACTTGATGCATGGTTCGATGGATGTATGGACTGGATGTATGGACTCGACTGGATGTATAGACGAGGATCGATGGGATGTTTTTATTTCTTATATATATGGACTTCATATATGGATGTATTGATGGATTCTATGGATGTATGGAATGATGTTGGGATTGATGGATGGATGTATGTTTTGTATGGTTCTCTGGATATATTACTGCCTGTAAATTTCTGTGATTTGATGTTTGCCTCTGTTGTGTGCAAAGTTTTGCTAAAGTTTAGCAGGGCTGGGACGTCAGCGCCATGCTAAATGGCGCTGACATGTCCAAACTCAGCGCCAGTGCACCTGGCGCTGAGGTCCCAGCCCAGCCATCCAGAAGGCTTGCTGGGCTGGGCCACGGCCGAAACGGCCAAGTCCCACCTCAGCGCCAGGTGGGCTGGCGCTGAGTTTCCAACAGTCAGCGCCATTATGGCTGGCGCTGAGGTCCCAGCCCGCAAGCCATCCAGCAGGCTTGCTGGTCTGGGCCTTGGGGGTTGCGGCCAAGTCCCACCTCAGCGCCAGGTGGGCTGGCGCTGAGTGTCCCACTGTCAGCGCCATTATGGCTGGCGCTGAGGTCCCAGCCCGCAAGCCATCCAGAAGGCTTGCTGGTCTGGGCCTTGGGGGTTGCGGCCAAGTCCCACCTCAGCGCCAGTCCGGTTGGCGCTGAGGTAGCTGCCACGTCAGTTGGGGATCGGCCCGGCCGCCACGGTGGCACAATGTCAGCGTCAGTCCCGTTGGCGCTGACACGGCCAACGTCAGCGCCAATGTGTTTGGCGCTGAGGCGACGGCCTATTTTTGGTTGAAGTTTTTGGCAGGGGTTAGTTTCGAAATAAGTTTTCCAAAAGGGTCAATTTGTCAAAAAAAAACGGCACAAAACTACCCTTCCAAAATTAAAAAAAAAATCTTTGGGAAGTCCAATCATATTCATCTGATGCATGTAAACGAATACAACAAGCATCAAACATCATACATGTTCCTTTGGTAGATTAGATCAGAAACCCGACGATAACAAAAAAGTATAACTGCAACACCCCAGATTTACCAACACATTAAACCAAACACACCATCATCATATGTACCATCGATTACCCAAATCCTGATATAACAAACTTTTTCATCAAACCATATACACAATACACATATCCAACTTGACAAAGGATTCTATGGAACATATCCACGTGGTTAAAAATAAATCTGAGTTCTACTGGAATTTCCACTTATTACTACCCTGGAAATTACTTTCAAACCCAAAATTACTCATCAAAGCTGGTAAAAAAAAACACAATCCAGCCTGTATAAACATCCTCTCATCTACCAGACCACATCCCTTGCACCTGCGAACTCTCCACGCCTCCACAAATAAAGCTCGTCCCGAGGAAGGGCGGCGACCCACCCCCCCCAATCGCCAAAACCCTAACTCCGATCCGATCGAGCTCTGCTTCCCATGGCGACTGCCGCGAGCCAGGCGAGCCTCCTGCTCCAGAAGCAGCTCAAAGGTACGGATCGGAACGGCCCCCCGTGCAATCTTATCTCGTCTAATCTCCTATTTTTTTTTTTGGTCCCGATTCGTCGGCGATCGGTTCTTGATCTTGGCCCGCCTTTTTGCGGGATCGTTGCAGATCTCGCGAAGAACCCCGTGGATGGGTTCTCGGCGGGGCTTGTGGACGATAGCAACGTGTTCGAGTGGCAGGTCACCATCATCGGCCCGCCCGATACCCTGTAGTAAGTTCAATTCCCACACCCCCCCTCTAATCGCTGCGCGATTGCTGGTTTGTAGATCGATTGGTTTACGCCTATTCGTCGCCGTGTTTTGATTATGTTTGTTTTGCGTTTACACCATGGCAATTCCACCTGGTAGATATTGATGTACAGTGCTTATGAATTGTTGTGAAAACTGTCTGAATTCCATATTGCCGTGTTGATCTGGAGGGTGTAGCTCAACGAATTTGCATTACCTATGTATCTCGGTGTTGATATATGGAATTGCCTGTTCAGTTATGCGCCTTGGAGACATGCACGAAGCCTTTCTGTGTTTGTGGTTCTACAATTGATAATAAGATATATTAGTTATAGGGAGCTGAGACTTGGGAGTAAGGTAGAGGCCAGTATCTTGTTTCAATATTCAACGGGGATAAAAAAGGGCTGAATTGGATTAATAGCTCCTTTTAAGTATGTGGGTATTGCTGGATCGATAGAAACAATTGGTTTAGTGGATGTACAAGATTTGTAGGATGGGGAGCTTCATATTCATCTGAGTTCATATCCATCATGTTCCTGTCTGGAAAGTTTGACGCACGTTTAAATGCCAACTATCCCTACCCCTTCTTTTAGTGGGGATTATATTTTGCCCTGGCAAATGTACACGCACAACTTGATTTAATAAAACAGGTGAACGTAGTATAACCAGCTGTTTTCATGATACTGGTTTGCTTGGTTTTGGATTGATACACAATTATTTTAGCGTTCATATGAGGTGACCTTAATCGATTAATAACTGGGTGCGCCTATCATATAGCTAGATCATCTGGCATATCGATTATTTACCTTAATCAATTAATAACTGGGTGACCTTAACCTTAATCAATTAATATTGCTAGATCATCTGGCATATGGTTAAAGTGACAATGATTTAAATAATACACTTGGTTAATATTGGAGTTACATGCATTTTGTGATATGGTTTGATGGAAATTCTTAAGAATCATTTGGCTGCTATTTTGCATTGGAAAAGGGAAGAGAAACACATTTTGACCTCAAATCTGCCGGCACTCAACAAGGGTTCACCGGAAACCTATATTCCAAAGCAGTGTATTACGTATACCATGTTATCTAAGTATATATTTCCTGTTTTTCTTATCTACTAGAACGAGATCTTCCTTTTGACACTCTGGTTTTTGGTAACAGATTAGTATTGCTTAAGTATTACAGATACGGGGTATCTATGGCAGTCATGTCATGTGACATGCTGCAAACAAGTAGCAACAAAAGATCCATAATGCAAATGAAAAAAAAAATGATAGGATGAAGCATATGGGTCTGTTTGGTCCATCAATTTGTCTTCCAATATTAGATTATTGTCCTTTTTAGCTCACCCAATAAAACGGCAGTGTGCTTTTTTGGCCTAGTCCCTTCTCTTGTAATCCATTGTGCATACAATAGCACCAGTTCTGTTCTTCCTATCAAGTTCCTCTGCTCCTCTTGATTTCTCTTCCCCTCTCTCCAACGTTGACAACTCAACACCCCATCTGCTTTTCACCATCATGCCCTCGTTCCTCAGTTGGAATGAGGAATTGTGGCAAACTCATTGCCTCCTTCCTCTGTTGATGCTCTTCCTGTGATGCGGAAGAGCCACTGGCAGCAGTCACATCCATGGAGGTCAAGCGGCTGATGAAGCATAGAAAGCGCACAGACCATATCATATGCGCACTACCTCATGCCAATGCCATATAGCTCAATTTTTCTATTTGTTTTAATGCTAAATGCTACATTGTGTTTCCAGTACACCGTATTGTGGTGTATCGCCTTATCACATACAGGAATGGCACTTAGCTGTTGTATCGGGTGATTCCTAGAGTATCATTGAGTCATTCTCAATCTGTGCCAGTACTGTTAATAGCTTCTAGTGATTAAGCTGTGCCTCTTGATTTGCTTTCTGTACATTTATCTGTCGATTGATTTGACTATTATCTGTGTTTCTTCTGTGCTTAAGTGATTGTACATTTTTAAAACTTCTTTGTTCTTACTTTAAAAGCTTAATTTTTTTGCTTTAAACCAATATCTTTATATATTTCACTGGACCTTGGTAAGATTTAATGTGTGAACTTCTGTTTCTGCAGTGATGGAGGCTACTTCAATGCAATAATGACCTTCCCCCAGAATTATCCGAATAGTCCCCCATCAGTAAGGTTTACCTCTGAGATGTGGCATCCAAATGGTAAGCTTGCTATTGATCTATGATTTTGCTATATCAATTTTCTAACAGGGTTTATAATGTTCAATTCTTAGTTTATCCTGATGGGCGCGTATGCATTTCTATCCTTCATCCACCTGGCGAAGATCCCAACGGTTATGAGCTTGCGAGCGAACGGTGGACACCTGTGCATACAGTAGGTTCTTTTTTACAATGCATACAAGTGTTTTTCTCTCTTTGTTCGTTGGCACAGGTGTTTTGTCCAACATTCTTATAGACTCTTCAATTCGGTATAAACATGCATCACAGCAAATCTGTATCAAGTGTCTGTTCCACTAGCTAATAGTTGCGAAGCCCAAAGTCTTCTCTGATCTGAAGATGCCCTGGAATGTAAAACATTTTATGATGCTAGCATGTTTCTACATTTTCTTGTTCTAATCACCTAAACTTATTGGATATATAATCCCAATCTTTCAAAACAGATTTTTGCTGACTAGAAATCTATCAATCTCAGATAGTTATGAACATCCATCCTGTGATTTCTTTAAGTAGCAGTAATATATGAATTTTATGGTTAGGAATATGATTCCACGTATTGCTTGTCCAAAATAACCTAAAATTCATTTTGGAGGCTTGGCGCGCACTTATCAGTGTTAATTTGGAAGATTTGTGGTCAATTATTTTCTTGCTAAATTATTTTGTGCTTGTAACTTGCAGGTTGAAAGTATAGTTCTGAGCATCATTTCGATGCTCTCTAGTCCAAATGATGAGTCTCCAGCAAATATTGAAGCGGCTGTAAGTGCACTCGTTGTCTATCTGCAATTCTCTTGCCCTTTCTTACGTGCTGCATTAAGTCTAGACTTACAAGAGGAACGGAAAATTATTCTGCTGCTCCAATGCAATGTTGTAAATGTATTTATCTTATTTACAGATTTCAATTTCACTAATAGATGAGTGAGATATCTTGATTGTATGTTGCATCCTAAAATAAAAACCGCAATTTGAGTCTCTCTGTTGAACATGGATGGGGGTTTCTCTCTGTGTTGATCTCATCGCAGTTAGCAGAGTAATTGCCCGTTGACATCCACAAAACATGTGTGCCACTGAAGGTCTTGATAGTCATTCAATTTGATTTGTGCCATGTCTAGAAGTTTCTAGTACTTCATTCCTTCACTGCAAAAACGTATATTCTGTTTCTATTACTTTCTGAACGTGTGCTTTGAAATTTGTGGTGCTGGTGCAGAAGGATTGGAGAGAAAAGAGGGACGATTTCAAGAAAAAGGTTAGACGCATTGTTCGTAAATCACAGGAAATGCTCTGAAAGATAAGGAGCACAAGGGGGAGTAAGCGAGTGCTACAACAGGTGCACTACACTTAACTGTCTGTCGTCAAACGACTACCTAAAGATAGCATTTTTGCTTCTTCCCCTGTATATTTCCCCCTCAGTGTCATTCGAGTGGTGATGTTGGTCTTGTCTCCGAGATGCTCGGAAATGTTGCCTATTCTAGAAATTTCGATTGTATTGTGTGGCATGGAGTGTCAACGTTGAGGAATATTTTGGAATGCTGCCAATTAGTCATAATTGTCGTAATGAACTTTTCATAACAGAAAACCTAGTTTCACATATCTGTTGGCTTACTGCAGCAGCCCGGAATGCCATCTCGTTGTGAGTATATAACTCTGATTTGTTTGAGTATTGTTTATGGCCGCAAAAGGATGGTTTTAGGCTTGTAGCATGTCTACTCTGACTTTCATATTCTTCCTGTACCTGTACGTTGCCAATCATATGGAAATCAACTGGCAGCAATCTGGTTATCTTTTCAGCCATAAGCTAGTTGGGGCAAAATTTTCTTTGCAGGTTACCTTGTATTATTTCAATAGAAGCAAGGGAAATATCCCTTGATTAAGGCCGTGTTTAGTTCCTCCTCTAATTTTTTTTAACGTATATAGATACACTTTTAAAGCATTAAACGTAAACTAATAACAAAATAAACTACAGACGAATCTATTAAGCCTAATTAATCTGTCATTAGCAAATGTTTACTGTAGCATCACATCGTTAAATCATGGCGTAATTAGGTTTAAAAGATTCGTTTCGCAATTTACATGCAAACCGTGTAATTGGTTTTTTTCGTCTATATTTAATGCTCCATGCATATGTCTAAACAATTGATGTGACGGAATTTTTGAAAGTTTGAAGAAACTAAACACAGCCTTAAAAAAGAAAGCTTTACTAATCCTCATATGGCAATCAATTCGGAGCCATTGCCCATTGGTGCCACCAGACTTTGATGGGTAATGAGGTTTATCTAAAAGTAGCATGACAACCAACGACCCATCCATGACTTACATGAGTCTTTTCTAAAAGAAGGCTATGATGTTTTAAAAGAAACGACCACTGACAACGAAATGGATCTGCAGCAACAACTCTGCATCGATCATTCGGTACCCTGGAGGCAAGAAAGGCAGCTGGGGACCAAACACCGCCAACAACTGTGTGATTGGAACCATGACTCCATGTCTGCATCGTTGTCATATATAGAGTCCGCATTCATTGTTATATATAGTGCCTGACAAACTGGAGCTACGTGAAAAAGGAAAAAAAAAACAGAAACAGCAAGAACAGGGTTTGATCGCAGTGGGATTCGAACCCACGACTTTTAGATTCGGAATCTAACGCGATATCCACTTCGCTATGCGACCCTGTCTCGTGTGTTTTCAGTTTTGAGATGAAAGGCCACGGCCTTTGGCAGAGGTATTCCACATTTCCACGATCCCACCTACTTCCTTCGTCCCATAATATAACAACCCAGTATCGGATAAGATATTTCATAATACAACGAATGTGGACAGGAGGGTGTCTAGATTCATTGTACTATGAAATGTCACATCCGGTACTAGATTGTTATATTATGGGACGGAGAGAGTATTAGATTAGGCACAACCTAAAAGCTGATCTGTCAGCGATGAGCAACAGATGAAGAGTGGGAGGGATTGTTGCCAGTTCAGTTGTGGAGCTTGAGGATAGATTTTGAGGGGTGGAAACACAAAGTGTGGTGGTAGAGCCATCGATGCACAACTTTAATCATAGTGTGTATGAATGCATTATTATACAAATGAGAGTTTGCTTTTTAATATAAATTTAATGAGGCCAACGATTTGTTGTTAGCTTCCTTCTATTTGAACGTGTGTTACGGAGCACACTTGTTTGAGTGTGATGTATATGTATAGTGGTGTGTACGCGCATGACTCGAATATTTTCGGTGATAACCAATGATCTAGAAATTGTCCCATGTACAAAAGGAGTCTTTGAGAAGGTTTTTAGCGAGTTTAAAGAAAGAGAATATCAGTACAACGGTTTGGCAACTCGTCAAGGTCCAATCCATTCCCACGTTATCAAGAAACGCCTATAAGGGCATGTTCAATGGTAGAGACGAGTATGGTCTCTTAAACAATATAAGATTATTAAAAGACCATGTCTTTACAATAGTTGAGACGACAAAGGCTCTAATCATTAACTCAAAAAATATTCCTTTTATTAATATTCTTTCTATTTTTTTACCCTCATGCAACCATATTTCCATATTATAGTGATTAAGAGTCGTTGTTAAGCCGTTGTCATGCATAACAACGATGTTTTGTCTCTCCCCTGTCTCTTTCTTCCATGTTAACAAGTATTCCTAATTAGCAACGCTAAGAGACCACTATTGACAACCATTGTACATGCCCTAAGGCTAAAAAGAAAGACCAAGCTCCCTGCCTATCCTAAACTCTCTTAATGTTGTGTTCGTAAGGGTATGTTCTAATTTTCCACACGTTTATCAAATTGCTAAATCGTATGCTTCTTTTTTTGCAAAAAATTTCTATAGGAAAGTTGCTTTTAGAAATTATATTAATTCTTTTTAAGTTTTTTTAAGTTAATACTTAATTAATCATACGCTAATACATACTCCTTCCGTTTCACAATGTAAGTCATTTTAGCATTTCCCACATTCATATTGATGTTAATGATTCATACATTTTAGCATTTCCCACATTCATATTGATGTTAATGATTCATAATGATATGAATCATTAACATCAATATGAATGTGGGAAATGCTAAAATGACTTACATTGTGAAACGGAGGAAGTACTATGTTTTGCGTGCCAGTCCTGAATGCACCCAAAATACCGATGATACATCGACACCATGTTTTTAGCGCCATATTTTTAACAAGACTGTTTTTCTATTCCTACTGAGAATCTAGGCTAAAAATGAAAATGAGTCTGGTCCATTTGAAATTTGAATATGGCCTCGCGAATGTGATCGACAACCCAGCATGCAGACGGTCCATTTGTCTCTTCCTAATTTGGCATAAATGTAATTAAAATTTGGTGCATTCCCTCTGCCACAAACGGTGTCGTGGTGTAGTTGGTTATCACGTCAGTCTAACACACTGAAGGTCTCCGGTTCGAGTCCGGGCGACGCCATCTTTTTTAAATTAAAAACTAAAATGGTTATTTTACCCTCTTCCTTTTATTTTTGAACCTTTTAAATTTTTTTAATCATAAGTTCAAAATGCTTATTTCACCTTCTTATTTTTCCTTTTTTAAAGTTCAAAATGGATATTTTACCCTCTTCTTTTTCCTTTTTGAACTTTTTTTTTAAAATTTTTTTACCCTCTTCCTTTTATTTTTGAACCTTTTAAATTTTTTTTATTATAAGTTCAAAATGCTTATTTCACCTTCTTATTTTTCCTTTTTTAAAGTTCAAAATGGATATTTTACCCTCTTCTTTTTCCTTTTTGAACTTTTTTTTTTAAAAAGTCATCACAAGTTCAAAATGTCTGTTTCACCTTCTTATTTTCCCTTTTATATTAAAAACTAAAATGGTTATTTTACCCTCTTCCATTTATTTTTGAACCTTTTAAAATTTTTTTATCATAAGTTCAAAATGCTTATTTCACCTTCTTATTTTTCCTTTTTAAAAGTTCAAAATGGATATTTTACCCTCTTCTTTTTCCTTTTTGAACTTTTTTTTTAAAAAAAGTCATCACAAGTTCAAAATGTTTGTTTCACTTTCCCTTTTTTAAATTCAAAATGGTTATTTACCCTCTTCTTTTCCTTTCTAAACCTTTTTTTTTTTACAAAAAGTCATCACAAGTTAAAAATGTTTGTTTTACCCTCTTATCTTTTATTTCCAAGTTCAAAATGCTTATTTTTAACCTCTTATTTTCCCTTTTTTTAAAAGTTCAAGATGCTTATTTCACCCTCCTATTTCACCTTTTCTAAAATTCAAAATGGTTATTTTACCCTTATCTTTTCCTTTTTGAACTTTTCTTTAAAAAATATCATAAGTTCTAAATGTTTGTTTTACCCTCTTTTTTTTTTCCTATTATCAAGTTCAAAATGCTTATTTTACCCTCTTTTTTTTCATTTTTTTTCAAGTTCAAAATGTTTTCCTTTTTTTTAGAATTTTGTAATGCTTATTTTACCTTCTTGTTTTCCCTTTTTTCTAAGTCCAAAATATTACCAGCCTTCCCTCTCAAGCACCGTCAACACAGTCTCACTTCTTTGGGGGAGCGTCTGTGTCATGGCCGTTTGGATCTAGCCTTCCTACTAGTGGATCTAGGGCCCTACCACCACTCTGCAACCCCAGAGCAGTTGTTGTCAAGCCCTCCACCACCTCTACCCTACGCCGCTGCTGCTCTTTCGCTGAGATGTCGCCCCTCCCTCGCTCCAGTCACGCACTAGAGCGGTTGCTTCTAAACAAGGACAATAAGGAGCTTCTATCTCAGGAGAGAAAGGAGAGGTAGAGGAGGATAAGATCGAAACTGAGTGTTGGGGGAGGGCTTCTATCGTGGGACTTAGAGAGTATTTTATGTTTGTTAACCATGCCACGTCGATTCGTTGGTCATTGCAAACTCTATATATACTATATAGGGTGTTGCCTGTAAAAATTGATTTTGACAGACAATTCCTTAAGAGGGCCGCTTATAAAACTGTTCCTATTTTTTTCAAGCAGTCCTCTTAAAACTACCAGGTAGGGCTAGAATTATGGGGTCTTCAGTTATTTTAGAAGTGGAAATTTTATAGTCCGCCTTATAAAAATCAAGCCTAGATGCTGTGAAAAATCGTTTTTCTGGTAGTCTTCTCTTCATCTTTCTTTTTTTGGCTAACAAGTTCAAAATGTTTTCTCTTTTTTTTACAAGTTCATAATGCTTATTTTACTATCTTATTTTCCTTTTTTTTCCAATTTCAAAATGTTTATTACAGCTCATACAGTTTTATTGCTGCCCTCTTTATTTCAAGTTCAAAATGCCTACTATTGCTCATTCAGTTTTGCTGGAATTGTCAGCTCAAATTCACCATGCAAAACCGGGACGAATGCAAAGGGAGAAAAAAAAATCCCCTACGCCTGCTCCATCTGGGTGCCCAAAATTTCCGCCCAATTCTTGGGCTTTGGTACCTCAGCCATATCGGTTATCTGAGCCCAATCAAAACGCCCTACACATCTCCCATCTCCACCCGTCCATTTTTCCAACGTTCTAGATCCATCCACCGATCTGTGGCCTCTCCCTCACGACCAATCATGTCCCACCTCTCCCCTCTATATATCCCCCCTCCCCCATCCCATAAATCAATCCCCACACCATGTCGCAACGCATCCACTTCCTCTCTCGTTGCCAATTCGAGTCTTCTCAACCTCTC